ATCACAATCTGTAATAACACCCAACAAAAATAATTGTGGAGTGAACTTTATCTTTCTCTTGAAGATCTTTTGAATGTTCCACCAAATCTTAATCCAAAAAGCTTTTATATTTCTACAAGTCCACCAAATATGAAAATAAGTAGCATCCAAGCTACCACACCTCCAACATTTGGGCTGTAAATTAGGATACATACAAGACAATATGGATTCATTTTTAAAAGTAGAATTTGCGACACTATCTCCTGGTATTGTGGATGCTTACATTATTATTTTATTCCATAATGATGGTTGCCGTTCGATAATCTTTGTCAGCACTGACACAATGGAGAATCAGATATGGACTAACAAAGCCGAGTACTGGAATGTGTATCACAATGGTGAGCAGCCTTTGTGTGGAGGTGGGACTGCACTTAGCATGGGGAGATTGCATTCCTGTTAACTTGGATGGGACCAGGACAAAAACAATTTAGTTTAACTTAAGTAAAATTAAAGGCATGTTAAATTAAATTAAACCTATAATCTGATGATAGCTTTGGATGAAAAACTGGGATCTACAGTATAACCACAGCTTTGGGGCCACAGACTGAGCTTCCATTGCTCTAGTGCAGGGGTGTCAAACTCAATTTCACTGAGGGCCGCATCAGTATTGCGGTTGCTCGGGGTGTGTGTGGCCAGAGTGGGTGCAACCTACTGGGTGGGCGTGGATGGAATGGGTGTGGCCTACTGGGTGGGCGTGGCCAGTTCTACATCATTCACATCAAGGGTGCCTATGGGGGCCTGGGCAGGAGTGGCACAGATCTGAGGGTCTCTGGCAGAAGGGGGTGGGACTGGGGCAAGTGCCAAGGCATGGTCCACTGGGGCAAGTGCCAAGATGGCCACCACAAAATTGTACATTGGCTCCCGGCTGGCCTGGGCCAGGGCCAAGGCAGCGGGGGCCGTTCCCTCACTATTTCCAGGATGGCTTCGCGGGCCACATGAAACCACTTCACAGGCCGCATCTGGCCCCCAGGCCTTGTGTTTGACATGTCTGCTCTAGTGCAATCTCAGCTACAACAAGTTATTAAGTTGGATTTCTTCAGAGGATTTTTTTTTTTGGTCAGCACAAATGAGTGTTAACCCTTTAATGCCCTGGCTGGCTATCGGTTCTCCATCCCAACCTTAGACATACGTACTTTCCTTCCAGGATGAGTAGATGGAATTCTCCTCCATTAGGGGTTGAGAGCTTGAGGTGTTTCCAACTGTACTGGTCTGGGACGGTCTCCTCTGCATCACCAGAGCAAAAGTGAAAGAAATAGGAGGGATTCTCAGTTAATTAACTTATAAAAGCAAAGTTGCAATATTTGAATGGCCCCTTTATCACAACATAACCACCACCTTGTATCACCATATCCAGAAACCCTTGCTGCAACTTATAATTTGATATGTTTACATCCCAACCTCCAAAATTTCAAGGTCCTCTATGTATTATTGTTTCCACCCACCAGTAAAATAGGTTGACTGAGTGCACTTTGAACTTGGTCTCCACAGTCCTACTGCAACACCCTGACCACATTACACCGAATCTCAAACCTTATCAATCTGATATGCAATTAAAGCTACTGATCTACCCATTTAATTCCAATACTTTTACCTGTTATTCATCTTTGTATCTGGAAGCTCCAAGCTACCCTCTATAATTACATCAATTACAGTATTTGCATAGGAAAACCCTACTCAAAACAAATTCATGATTTTGTTTGTAACATAATAATCATGGAAAAATTCCTCTCTGTTATTTGTTACTTTAGGGATAAACACAACTAGGCAAGAGCCAAATAAATAGAGTTGAGAAAGGGGAAAACGATGATGAAACTATGTAAACATTACACCTGAATTCCTATAAATTCTTGCTGGAAGAAAGAAACTCTGAAACCACTGGGATCCTCTTCTGAATAAGAAACCATAATTTTGTTATATTAGCAATTCCAGAATTTCCAGTACTATGCTGCTATGTGGTTCACTCAATTAATCTCTTAAGAGTTTTGGCAGCAGAACTGCATTTTTAAAAATTTGAGAAATAAAATAAAATAAGTAAATGAAGAATGTCCATTATTATAGCACTCTCCTCCAGAAACTCTTCATGCAGTGTTTCAAGAAGCTACTGAAATGAGAATGGAATCCTGAAATTTTAGGGTTGGAAAGTCAGTCATCCAACCTTCCATGAATAATATTAACAGCAATTTTGGGGGAGCAACTCCATTAAGTCTTGTATTGTATGACAAAACTTTTGGGCATGAGAAATCATCCTATAATAATAATAATAATAATAATAATAATAATAATAATAATGATGATGATGATGATGATGATGATGATGATAATGATAAAGTTGGAAGGGACCTTGAAGGTCATCTAGTCCAACCCCCTGGTCAGGCAGGAAAACCTATACCATTTCGGACAAATGGCTGTCCAGTCTCTTCTTAAAAACTTCCAGTGTTGGCGCATTCACCGCTTCTGGAGGCAGGTTGTTCCACTGGTTAATTGTTCTAACTGTCAGGAAGTTTCTCCTTAGTTCTAGGTTGCTTCTCTCTTTGGTTAGTTTCTATCCGTTGCTTCTTGTCCTGCCTTCAGGCGCTTTGGAGAATAGCTTGACTCCCTCTTCTTTGTGGCAGCCCCTGAGATATTGGAACACTGCTATCATGTCCCCCCTCGTCCTTCTCTTCGTTAAACTAGACATACCCAATTCCAGTAACCGTTCCTCATATGTTTTAGCCTCCAGTCCCCTAATCATCTTTGTTGCTCTTCTCTGTACTCTTTCTAGAGTCTCAACATCTTTTTTACATCGTGGTGACCAAAACTGGATGCAGTATTCCAAGTGTGGCCTTACCAAGGCATTGTATAGTTCAGTTCAAGTAGATGCAAGTCGATGCTATTCAATTAAGTACTGTAATGTACTGTATTAATCAATACCTGAAAAGCTAGTTGACAGATGCATTCAATCCATTCACTTGGTTGATCTGCTGCGAACAACCAGCTGCGTTCCAGCATGCACAAGTAGAAAGGCGCCGTGTCCCTGGGGGAGCTCTGGTCTTCAGCTCTTTCCACAGAGACACAGTCCGAGAGGCGAATCACTTTACGTTCCCCTTTCCTCAGGGTTGTTTTTCCCGCTGCAGCACCATCACGTGCTTCAAAATACTCAAGACGGGCAACACCAAAAGGACTGTCAGCAAAAAGCTGGACCCATACTTTCCGCCAAGACTTCTGTGGAGGCAAAGGGATGGGTGATGAAACAATCCTGGAAACAATCCAATTGCAGTCAAATATTTGCACCCAGGAGGAAGAAATAAGAAAGTAAGTCTTTAAGTAGCCGTGCAGAAAGAGAAACAAAATACGATTCTCCTGCTACTGAGCTACTCACAGAAGTAGGAGCCAATGTGTAGAATCACAAAAAGGCAAACCTTTCCCCCCCCTCCATTATTCCATAGTCCCTCTGCGGCATTTAATAATCATAGAATGTATTTGTACAATTGCCTCATCTAGTATCGGGCCCAGGATATAATGTCTTTGTTCCTTGAAATCGTATAAAAATGTAAATTTCTAATCCTCGTGGAATTCAAAACTGCAGACTTGATAGTGAGTAATGGTTTCAGGGCCCTCAGCTATTATTTATTGGACCAGCTCATCTCCCAGCTCATCTTCAGACAGTGCCTGTCCCTTCCCTTTTGGCACTGCATTTCATAGTCTGAGGTCAGCGATTGAGCAAGTGAAAAATATAGTAATTTCCATTGCACAAGTCAAATATGTAATTTGTTCAAAAAAGGCCGAAAGAAAGTGCACTATTTTTCCTAAGCGGGTTTGTCTCTAAAACAGAACATACCCCAGATCCAATAGTCTATCTTTCCAGACAGAATTAAAATCTGTCTAAATCTTATAAAACTGCTGCCTATCAGTATCCATAATTCTCGCCAATGTAACTGTGTTCTGAGCTATTTTCAACACCCACCCACCCAATTTCTGATGCAGCAGCTTAGAGTCAGATGATCAGAGGCTGGAGAGGACTTCCAGAGAAGTATAGGCAAAATGTCTGGAAACGATGGAAATACTGCTGAGAAGATGGGAAGCACCAGATTTAGGAAGGCTAGTATAAATATTTGGAAGATGAGGATTAATCATTGTACTCACCTACACCGTGGTGCTCCTCCTGTAAAATTCCTCAATGAGTAGCAGTTATCAAAGGGATACACTGAGTCAATCATTGTTAAGCTGTGAGTTGTTTAACATGGTTTAATGGTTTAACATGTTTAATATGGTTTATTCCTGAAATAGTTAGCTTGCTTTACACCATATCAAACCAAAGCATCATTACTGTAAGAGCTGCTTACTTTTGCAGAGCATGAAATGAGAAAGCTGTTAGAAACAGCATCTCAGTTGGCTATGAAATTTAGCCAATTTTGGGTTAAGGCATCAGGCTAAAAACCAGGAGGTTGTGAGTTCTAGTTCCGCCTTAGGCGTGAAAATCGGCTGGGTGACTTTGGGCCAGTCACTGTTTGTCAGCCACAACTCACCTCACAGGACTGTTGTAGGAAAAAATAGGAGGAGGGAGGAGTATTAGATATGTATTATCTAATGGGATAAAAAAATTAAAAAAAAACAAAAAAAACCCCCAGAATTCTAGGTAACTCAATATAGAATTTCTGTGTGTTTTTAAAAGCAAGTTAACAATTTGGTATGAAACATATTTTTCCACTACTACTAAGGAATAATACTGAGGCCTGGAGGCCCTAGCCCAGGGGTAGGCAACCTCGGCTCTTTTATGACTCATGGACTTCAACTCCCAGAATTCCTGAGTCAGCATAGCTGACTCAGGAATTCTGGGAGTTGAACTCCATGAGTCATAAAAGAGTTGACGTTGCCTACCCCTGCCCTAGCCATTCGAGTGGTAACAGCATATTTTAGCCTATATCCCTTTCCATGAAGTCAAATTTTCAGAGTAGTTACAATAAAACGAGAAAGCAACTTCAACTTGGCATTTAATTTTGCCTGCCAGCAGCCATTTCCCAAACTTCAAAGTACAATCAGAGATTAACGAAAGAGGGTTGAAATCTAGTTCCTTGATGTGTCAGTTGTCACCAGTAACCAAAAATGCCAGTTAGAAAGTCTTCAGTTGGTTTCACCCTTCGAGATGGATTTTGGCTTCATTGGGAGCCACCAGACGTAGCCACTAACCCCATGGAAATACTTTCAAGAAATGCCAGACTATTATAAGCCAGGTTATGACTCCTTTTCAGTCCTGGGGGTGTCATCTGACATCTGCCAGCCCTGGCCTAAAACGCAAATGACTGAAAATGAGAGAATCACTGAACCATTTTGATTTTGTACTCGTGACTTCCCCACCTCACTGCCAAATTTTACTTTTGGAAAGACTCTGATTGTACTTGCATTAGTTGGTGGCTGCAACTCCAGGGCTGACAAAAGATATGAAAGTGAAGAGGGTGGTGAATAGGATAAAGGGATCCAAGCCTCCCTCCATCCCAGCCTCAACAGGGGTGTCATAAATTTAAAAAGGGCTGAGCTTATCCAAGTCTCCCTTACTTGGGTGACTCAGTACTCGGTACAAAGACCCTGGTCTTGGGTTTCTCCATTCAAAGGCAGACCCTGCAAAGTGATCTTGTCCATATTCCATTCAGAATGATTGCTTCAGGCCAACTTCACATTTTGTCAACAGATACATTTATACTACACTCCTTAATGTATTCAGCATTTAATTTTATTTATTTGATGTAATCATATCCAGAAACAACAGAGTATACAGCTGTACGCTCACAATTCAATATGACAATAAAGCAAGAGAATGGAAAATAAATATTAGATAATCACAGCCACTGCAGGCTCTGCCTTGTACGACCAAGGCTAACACCTTAAGCCCTAGCAGTGGAAAGTATAAAGAAAATTTTCCTTAACTTTGACAAGACAAACAAAATCCACAAATCCATACACCTCTACCTTCAAGATTCTGTAGAATCAGCTTTCCCATTACAAGTGAGATACCACATTTACCTTCCCAAATTTGGGGTGCTGAATATACAGGATCCCATCTTTCATAGGGTGCTCCATAGGAGTAAGATCCAAGCTAGCAACCCAGTAAAATGTGCGACAGAGTCTGTCAAGATGATGAGCTCTTGTGGCTGCCCAAGAGATGAGTCAGTAAGTATGATAGTGCAGGCAACTTCCTCTGCCTGCTAACTTCCTCTTTGGGGCCTGCAGGCACCCAGAAAGTTATAACAGGCCAAAAGTCCCGAGAGAGACAGACTGTCCCAGGAGACATTTAACTCAACAGCTTTAGCAGGCAAGAATGACTCTTTTGCAGCTGCAGAAGCTTTCATCCAAAACAGAGCTGTTAAGAGAAAACAACATGGCTGGAAATAGATGGGTGGAGTCAAGGCAAGGGGTAAATAAAATTATATAAACTGTTTTTATAGTGACCAGAAACTAGTAGTGAGACATGAACTACATATCAAGTCTCTGCCTCCTCATTATGGTCATCTGCTGAAGAGCTAGGCAATATTTGCCCAGCACACATGACAATGTCTGATGCAACAGATTTATTGCAACAATAGCCTGCTACCCTCAAGAAAGTGTATACTGAACAGTTTAAAAACAAGCAGGTGTTAAAAAAGGATGGAGCGTGCCTTTAAAGAATGTACAACCACGGATATCAAGGTGATGTGACTGCCCCAAATTAGCACAAAATGTTCACACAGAAGGCAACACAGGAGATAGAACAACCAAGCCCAGCACTTCACCTTGAAGTAGGAACAATATTTTCAACAGAAGCATTAAGATCCCCAAATGGGAAAAAAAAACCCTTATCAGCCTGTTTCCTACTTCTGTAGTGATAGTTGTTCCAGAAACTGCATTGGAATTATTTCAGAAAAGATGCCTTTCCAGAAAAAAAAACACCCTCTCATTGATTTGCCTATGCCTAGACCAGGGGTAGTCAACCTTGGCTCTTTTATGACTCGTGGACTTCAACTCCCAGAATTCCTGAGCCAGCTGTGCTGGCTCAGGAATTCTGGGAGTTGAAGTCCACGAGTCATAAAAGAGCCAAGGTTGACTACCCCTGGCCTAGACAAATGGCAGAATCAGTCTAGAAGTCCATGGAGCTGTGTGCCAGATAGTCCTTGCGTCCAATGTTGCTGACTTGCTTGGTCTGCATGGCTTCCAGCTTGGGGCAATCTGTGATACGGTGACCCAGCCCCCCGCAGAAAGCACAGCCTCTTTCTCCTGGAAGAGAAAATACTGCATCAGTTAAAGTTCAGATCGCTGAAAGGCGATTACAACATGGGAGGAGTAGAAAGATGGCCTACGCAGCTCTCAGCCACAAGGCATGCCTATCTTTTAGCAGTAATGTGACTTAAAAAAACCTCCCGCTCTTTGTGAAAAAAATGCACCTGGCCAGCATCTAATTTGCATAGCAGTTATTTCATTCCTCCCTTCACTAGGCCACAAAGCAGATACATCCTTCCATTTCTTTGAATAGCAGATAACCCTAATTCCAATAAGCTTTCACCTAACACAGCCACGCTAAAGGTTGAACAGTAAAACTATTCTAGTCTCTCGGACCTCTCCTCATCCTACTCTTTACGAACCAACTACTTACCTCCAATATCCAACATGGACTCATCTCCACAATGCAACACTTGAAGCACGGGAGGCACCTTCTGCTTGGCCTCCAGCAGCAGCGCCTTCAAATCCATGAGTACTGATTCATCTAGGGGTCAAGAGACAAGTCGTGTGGACAAAAGCCAATGTCTCAAATGCATTTCAGTTACAGTAAACAAGGGGCACGGCCTACACAAACAGCTATCTTTATAAGGTATCTCTTGTGATATACCCAAGCCACCCACTGATCATATCCTAGCTCCCTAGAACAGGGGTAGGCAACCTTGGCTCTTTTATGACTCGTGGACTTCAACTTCCAGAATTCCTGAGCCAGCTTAGGTAAGGTTGCTTACCCCTGCCCTAGAATATTCTTTGTTGTTAATGATTCATTAGGAAGCATGACTGGATGAGCCCAGCTGACACAAATATAATTAGCTGAAGTTCATTCATTCTTCACCCTCATCCTTCCTCTGGCTCTGTTCATCACAGACCAGCTTTTATAACAGTCTTTCTCAGTTCCTTACCACAGGCTTTGTTGATGAAAGTGGTGGCAATGCCAGTGTTCCCTGAGCGGCCCGTACGCCCAATCCGATGAACTGGGGAGGAAAAAAATCAGACGCAAATACCATTTTTAGCCAAAAGAAATATGACTTGATTATGCTTCCTCAAGAAAGCGAATTACAGTAGCCATGGGAAATTAGTATAAAAACAGACCAGAAACAGACCATTCAGCTTCCCCATCGGGTTGATTGAAGCCTGTCTAGTGAAAAAAAAATCCTGGAAAGTCCTTCCCACTCCTCATGAATAATGTTACGATGTGACACACTTTACATGTGGATACACAGTGTTACAGTGTTTTCTTTTTATGACTCTGTAATCCCTTTTATAGGGGATTACATACGCATACATATGGTTCCATATACCCACCAAGAGCCACATCTATATAAATAAAAATGTAAATGTTCGTTTGTTCAAAATCTTAAATCTCCAAAAGTTCTTCACCGATTGCTTTGAAATTTTGACACAACGTTGCATTCGAATACACGCGTGTTTTTATATACCTAATATTACATAGATGTCACACCTGTGACAGGTAAAAACATGATATATTACAAACGTGCGTTCTCTTTTCTTTCTTTTCCATTTAACCAGACTGAGCCACAGAAACGCGTGGCTGAGTACAGCTAGTTCCAAATAAAATCAGTTCAAAAGCTAGTTCAAAATGCAGTGGCATGAACAGTAATGGGCATGCCCATGTAATACCTCAGCTCTGTGAACAGTACTGCTTGCGGGTTTGCCTCTGGGAGCAATTTAAAATACTGGCTGTTATCAATAAAGTCCTACACGGCGTAAGGCCCAATTACTTGAAAAAAACCACCTGTGTCCCATAATATATGACTTACAGATTCAATGTGGGGTGACATGCTCCGGGTTCCTTCAATTAAATCAGATACTCTATCAGAACCCCGGAAGCCCCTTTGCTCTGTAGCAGCCCCTGCCCTCTGGAGCGAAGTTTTCCCTGAGATCCCAATGGCCCCCAATCTGGTACTCTTCAGAAGAGCCGTGAAGACCTGACTCTACACTCATGCTTTGGGCAAGGGACAGTTAGGACCCTCACTTCATTGTACCTGCTGTCTTTTACCTTTATTTTTATGATTTAATGATCTGATTGAAATTTCTTTGTTTGACTGACAAGCTGCCAGAGACACTGAGAGTCAGGCAGCATTCAAGTAATACATTATGATCAATAGTAGTAACTGTGAGAGGGATCTTGGAGTCCTAGTGGACAATCATTTAACTATGAGCCAGCAGTGTGCTGCAGCTGCCAAAAAAGCCAACACAGTGATAGGCTGCATTAACAGAGGGCTAGAATCAAGATCATGTGAAGTATTAATACCACTTTACAATGCCTTGGTAAGGCCACACTTGGAATACTGCATCCAGTTTTGGTCAACACAATGTAAAAAAGATGCTGAGACTCTAGAAAGAGTACAGAGAAGAGCAACAAAGATGATTAGGGGACTGGAGGCTAAAACATATAAGGAACGGTTGCTGGAATTGGGTACGTCAGTTTAACGAAGAGAAGGATGAGGGGGACATATAGCAGTGTTCCAATATCTCAGGGGCTGCCACAAAGAAGAGGGAGTCAAACTATTCTCCAAAGCGCCTGAAGGCAGGACAAGAAGCAACGGGTGGAAACTAATTAAGGAGAGAAGCAACCTAGAACTAAGGAGAAACTTCCTGACAGTTAGAACAATTAACCAATGGAACAACCTGCCTCCAGAAGCGGTGAATGCTCCAACACTGGAAGTTTTTAAGAAGAAACTAGACAGCCATTTGTCCGAAATGATATAGGGTTTCCTGCCTGAGCAGGGGGTTGGACTGGATGACCTCCAAGGTCCCTTCCAACTTTATCATTATCATTATCATCATTATCATCATCATCATCATCATTATTATTTTATTATTTTTATTTTTATTATTATTATTATTATTACTACTATTATTACTACTATTATTACTATTATTATTATTATTATTATTATTATTATTATTATTATTATTCCAACAACATAGTCCATATTTGCAAAATGATGCCGATGACACCACTTGCCCCCTTAGCCTACGAGAAGCTCTGTTTGGTGCCACAAAAGGAATTCAAATTCACAGGCAGCAGGGAGGAGCCTCGTTTCTTCCTAATCTTTGGGCATCCTCAGCAGTTGATACCCGTTTGCTATTTTGCATCTCCCCGCCATTCATTTCTTGAACTCCTCCCAGTAATAGAGCTAAAAGATACAGTAATACGTGATAAGAGGAAAAGCGAGCAGGTGTCTCATATCCTATTTTAGCTGAACCCATTTTAGAACTCAGATACTGTCGATATAACTTCTGCAGCAGACCAGTAAGCCAAATTCTGCTGATCAAATTGTTTTTTCACAATTTTTTTTAAAATATTTTTGAAAATATTTTTTATCCAGTGTGACAATTTTTTTTTTGTCACACTGGATAAATTCTGCATATGTTTAAGGATTCCAACAAATGAACCTGGTAACTCCCCCCCCCCCCCCAGGAGTCCCTCTATTTCATACCATAATTTTCTATCTCCTCGGGCATGTCATAATTGATGACATGCTGGATGGCTGGGAAATCCAAGCCTTTGGAGGCAACATCTGTTGCAACAAGAACGTCCTTTTTGCCATCCCGGAAAGCCTCAATAGCCTTTGTCCGTTCCTCTTGGTCTGCAAGATGAAGGGATACATTAAGAAGAGCAGAGAAGGATTTCACCTCATCCTTAATCCAGAAGCTTCCATTCACTGTGAGCATGATTCACACTCCTAGAACAAGAGGGCCTTTATCTTCATGGTCGCTTTTATGAAATCACAGAGTGAACTGTTTCATTGTCCAAAGCTGGTTTAATAATTTGTGTTGAGATGTATGTGATACCACAGGCAATACTGAGAACTCCCTAAAACAGGGCTTTTCAACCAGTGGTACGGGTACCACCTGTGGTACATTGGCACCTGGCAGGTGGTACGCGACCATCCTAGAAAAGTAGTAGCGGGGGAGGGGAATAAGCTGAACTGGTGGCAGCACAGCATAAGCCTGAGCGAGAGATGGCTGGAGCTGCAGGGCTGTCAGGGCTCAGCAGAAGCGCCAGGATCAGCGCCAGGCTCCAGCTGGAGCTCGGCGCTGATCCTGGCGCTTCTGCTGAGCCCTGAAGCACCAATCAGCTGGAAAGCAGCACTGATCCTGGCGCTTCTGCTGAGCCCAGAAGAAGAGCCAATCAGCTGGAATGTTGTAGCATCTCCAGGGTCTTGTGATTTACATTCAGATGCTTGGCAACTGATTCATATTTATGACGGTCACAGTGTCCCAGGGTCATGTGAACTGACCAAAACCTGCTGCAACCACCCAGCAGACAGGGGCAATAAAAACCAAACAACCCCATCCCACCCCCGCTGCCAATCCTCAACAGAAATGCCTCACAACGACAGCCTTGGACAGGAGGAAGAGCGCCGCCGGGTGCTGTCTTGCTCGGCTGTGGTTTGGGGGGTACTTTTTTCAATGCCATTGTAACTTCGAACAGACACTAAGTGAACTGTTGTAAGTTGAGGACTACCTGTACTTTATCACTTTTTTCCTTTTTTTTTGTCATCAAGTTTTTGACACCTTGCTAGGCGACTGGTGGGTGAAAAGGTTGAAAAGCCCTGCCCTAAAAGATCTGATACAGCTGCTTGAATCCTCTTTTCTAGATCCTTTTCTAACCTTTACCATGCTTCATACCACATAATTACAGTTCTGTGATATAAAAGACGTCCTATCTTCTAATCAAGCAAGAACTCTGTGGCTCACAGGAAGATATATTTTCAAAATATCTAATCTAACTATAGTTAAGTCAGAAAAACTATCATATATCGAGTTCCTGCACTTTCAGATTACTGCATTTTAGGTCTAGGACCAAAGGAGTACTTTTATTCAAAACCAAAAGGTTTCACAGACCTTTTCCACCATGTATGGCCACAGCCTCTACACCTTTGAGTAATAAATATTCATGAATTGCATCTACATCTGCTTTCTTCTCAGCAAAAATAAGAACCTGCCAAAGAAAGCAAAAGATAATGCTTGTACTCCAGTCCCTTACTCAAAGGGAGAACCTGTTTCAAAAATAAGATAAAATACAACAACCCAACAGCCAAAAATCAGATTGTTTTCATGCAGTACTGCTTCCTTTTCTATGACAAGTGCAGAAAACTCAGATAAGAAGACTTTGGGAGTGATCAGATCAGATCAGGATAGGGCTGAACTTACAGGTGGTGGAGTCTTCTGTAGACATTCAAGTAGATATACCATTTTAGCTTCCTCCTTCACATATTCTACTTCCTAGATAGAACCAGAGAAACATAGTGAAAGATACTACCGAGAAGTCAGCACAGGATGGCTCATTAGGGCTCAATAGATTAGGACCCTGAAGTATTGAGTATAGATATGAAAAACCAAGGTTGATATTATGCATGAATAAAGATAATGTTGCTGAATAAGATGTTATAATAATTAAATAATGAATGAACAGAACATTTTAAGATCTGTCTTACCCAATACCCACAAACTAAAGAACTCACAGGGAGCTCACTATAATTTGGACTCCCTACGCAGTACAGTTTGAGGTACAATCAGACCCAGGCTAAGGAAGTGCTCTAAACTAGTGACATACCTGTATGACATCTAAACTGGCAGCTCCTGCACGTCCCACATTGATTGTGATTGGCTTTACAAGGGCACTCTTTGCAAAATTCTGAATCTTTTTAGGCATGGTGGCACTGAAGAGCAGGGTCTGCCGTTGTCCCTAAAAGAGAAGCACAGATGGTAAATAAGAAATGATGGGACTTCCGGTCCTGCACAGCAGCGCAGCAGTCGAGGGGTTCGGGACTCCATGCCCTTCAGCTGAGTTTCTTCCTGTTAGGGGACCCTAAATGGGCCAGAAGCTGCCCCAAAGAGGCGGCAAAGAAGGAAGTAAGTTCCGGGGACCTCGGAGAGACAGCGGTCAACTCAATCGGTCCAGGAGAAGCCTTCCAGAAATCAACAGGAGAAAGGCTAGCCTAACTTCAGAGTCCAGCCCAAGCTGCAAGCAACCGAAGTCAAAAGCACTATTTTAAGCTGATTGTAAACAGCGCATTTGAATCTGGGTAAGAACATTGATTTTCTCTATCCTACTTATCAACTTTTCTGAAGAAAAAAAAAATCCCAAGAAGCAAAAAACCTCTGAAAGTGAAGGAGGGAAATTTTTCCCCCACCCTTTTACTAACGGAAGCGGCAAATTAACCAAAATGTATTGAAATGAAATGAAATGACTATAAAACCTAACTTTGGATAAGTTTGAAATTACTGAATGGTTAAGATTCTCATTTTAAAGGCAATTTGTTCATTTTGAAAATTTGAAAAATAAACCAGTGCTGACATCTAGTGGTGGATGAAGACTATGACAGCTATGGCTTTCATGCAGGACTTGGCAAAATCTGAAAAAAACTAATCTCTACTTGTGACCTTCAAAGCTCTAACAATAGAGAACAGCTGTGACAAAAAAGAAAACAATCTGGGCTGCAGACAAAGTGAGACTTACAAACTTCAGGGAACAAACAAAAAAAAACTTTTTTGAACTTTCTGGATTACAAGTATCTATTTAACTCTGACTCCAAAGCTATTTGCAGAGAAAAGAAAATTTGGATTCTCAGTCATCATGGAAAACCAGAGATTTATAGAAAGAACCTATCAAGAAAAAATAAATACTTTTCAAGAGGAGATATATGATATGTTGCAACTAATTCAAATAACAATTATTTCAAACCACAAAGAAATCCAAAATAACTTTGAAAATATAAACCAATTCATCTCCAATTTAACTTTACAACAAAAAAATCCCCAGGAAACAACCACAGCGAAGGAACAGATAAAACAGACAACTGAATACAAATTTGAGGATAGAGACTTAAAGATGGAACCTAACAAAAAAAAAGTATGATTTAACCCAAGTGGGAAAAAATTACAAGAAATACTGGATTTGGAAAAGACAACTTATACTTTAAAACCACAAAACAAATTTGAGGATAAGAAAAAAGATTGGACAAAATGGACTGCAGAGATGCCAGGAAAAACACTAGAACTGGAGAGACAAAAAATGGTAAGAGAAGCAGAGAGAAAAAGAAAGAAAAAGATTTTCAACAAAAATGAATGGGCATATGCCTTTCACAAAGATATTGTACTTGACTTATCTTTTATATCTACATAACACCTACAAGAATATGGAAAGATTCTTTGATTCAGCAGAACATATTAAGAAAGATATTGGGCAAAAAAAGAGGCTAAAGTGAAAATTAAGAAAATAGACGATGGGGCCTATCAGAGAGAATATTTAAAAAAGAAACACCTGTTCGAATATGGTTAAAGAAATAGAAAAATTTTGGATGTGAATTTGACTTTAACAGGGAAGAGCCCCTCAAGTAACATAGTACTTTCTTTTCTTTTTTATTTTATTTCTTGATATGAGTAATATAAAAGAGTTGGAATGGCTTATATAAATGTTTTAGATATCTAAAGGTGATTGACTTCAAGAAAATTATAATGGATTAAAAATGTTTTGAATAAGAGTTAAAAGACTAGAGGACTAGATTTATTAAATGGAATATTTAAAGATTAAATATATTTTTAATTATGGTAAAAAACGAATTTTTTTTTGGAAATAAATATGTATTAGCTTATAGGAAATAGGGATTTTAAGTAGCATACTATATTATTATTATTATTATTATTATTATTATTATTATTATTATTATTATTATTATTATTATTATTTCTTTTTTTAGTCTTATTTATTCCTTAAGAAAGGTAAAAGTATTGGGTTGGCTTACATGAGAAAAAATAGACTTAAATATTTAAATGTAATTAACTTTGAGAAAATCTTAACCAGTAAGAATGTTTTGAACATTGTGGGAAAAACAAATGTAAACAAGAACTGTAAACAGGATCTATGATGAGACAACCAGAATGACTAAATAGAAAAGGAATATTATATGATGTGATTATTATCTGTAGAAATATTAGAAAACTTTTATACTCAAATCGTCATTCATTAAAACAACAAGAATTGTATTAACTTAAGGTTGGTAAAAGAGAACATTATGGGAAAAGGAGGAAATCAAGTAAAGTGATTATGCGGATTATAGATTACAGAAATCAACTGTTAGTGAATGTTTCTTAAATGTAAACCCAGACAACACACTGTTTACCGAATATTAAGGTGATTATGTTAAAAATTAATAAAACATATTTTTTTTAAAAAAAGAAATAATGGACAATTTGCTTTGTTGATGCCATTCTAAAAATTCTGCTCCCAGACCTGGTCACAGAATACATTTTATAGCATTCGGAGCTCTGAATAATTACAGACCAACATTCGTACTAGGCAAACAATTTATAACATTGTAAATCTCATCTTTCATTTCTGAAAAGTAAGTTTGAAAAGACATAAATATTGCCTTGCAAGAATTCATATGCTAGAAGGGAGGTACTAGAGCAGGCATGTCAAACTGCCGGCCCGCAGGCCGGATGCATCACAACAAAACCGCGCCCACCCCATTGCCGGCAATGGGGAAAAAGTCGCAATATGTCGCATGACGTCACGTGACATCGTGAGTTTGACATGCCTGTACTAGAGGAAAGAGAAAACAATAGGTGGCAGAATTTCTAATAGCCAGAGGAAAAGGGGCTTAGTGGCCCACATAGCTTTTTGGCTATGAACTAAGACAAATTATCTCAAGAGGCAGGACAAACATTAAATTTTATCCTATATTCTCAAGGAAGCTGGCTCTTCTTTCTCGTAATTGAGAAAGAAGATATTTTATGATAAGTAGCTGTTCACAATATATTATTCAAACATCTGTGCTACCTACTCAGTGCTTGATTTCTAAAAAGAGCACATGTACCAGATTGCCAATCTGCCTCGCAATCTTTCCAATTAGTCTAATGTTCTGTCGGTTTATGTAAGACCAACAAATGGTGACATCCAACATACAAATAAGATCCTATCAGGTGCAGATTAAATCTTATGTCTACTACTAACCTAAAGCTTTTATCTCGACCAGGAAAATACCACAGTTATCATTAGCCACATCTCTGGTACAGAAAATGCATAAAGCTGAGAGAAAAATAATCAAGGAATATGCTCAAAGGTTGACTGGGATCACGTTTGGAGCAAAGTCTTCCCTCCCTAGTACCTTGAAATAGGAAAAGATAGTGCGGATATCTCCTTCAAAACCCATATCAATCATCCTGTCAGCTTCATCCAAAGCCAGGTAGCGGCAGACATCCAGACTGACCATCTTTTTCTGTAATAGATCCATGAGACGGCCTGGAGTTGCCACCATCATGTGTACACCACTGTGAGAACAGAAGGTTTAGAACATTGCAGAAGGCCCCGTACTAGTAACAATAACAGAAACATAAGAGTAAAAATATGGTTATTCCCTTGTGAAGCCTCTGTATCTCACCAGGGAAACTGCATTTCATAAATGTGGTACCTACACAGATCTTGGCTACTATTTACGGCTTCAGGGTCTCTAGGGGCCTTTCCTATTTTTATCACCATCCAGCAGATCAACTCCTACATGGTGGGAACAGATTGCTGCTTCCTAAGATGCCACTGGAGCAGGATCATTAAACAATGAGGCTTTCTTTCCTTCCCGGGGAAATCATTCAGGATCACTGCCAATAAAAGTGGAATAACTGGTAATTCTGTGCCACATATGCCACACATCCTGGTGAAGCACAGCACCTGGTCATCCTGGTGAAGCACAGCAAGCCGATGAGAGGGCAGGATGATACATGTGCATGGGCGTTCACATGCACCACGCCAACCCACTATCTATTTTTGCATGTAGAAATAGCTGTGGTTTCCTACTTTCAACAATGAAAATTAGATTAATGTGGCTTTTGCTCTGGACTCGTAGCAAGGCAGGAACCAGATTTAGATATGTATGAAGTCAGTATCAGTGAGATAGAGATCAACATCTTTTCAAAAGAGGAATTTCTGCAGCTGAGAAATAACAGGCCAATCCTACTGCCAATAAAAGCACAATCTTTTTATACTATGTAGGAAAAGGAAGAAAGCGTATTAGATCAAGTAGCTGAATACTGCTTTGCTTCCTTAACCCCCACACAGGGAAAATGTAGCCATTCTGCTTTAAATGTTCTTCAAATGTCACCCTTACTGTTTGATAGTCTCCATTTGTTCTTTCACAGACATGCCACCGATGCAAAGAGCACAGCGCAAGGCAGGCATCCCATCCTCCTGCAGCAGGCGGCAATAGTATTCCAGGATGCCATGAGTCTGTCGAGCCAGTTCCCTCTGTGGAAACAAAAACCTGATCAGCTAGGGCAGGGGTGTCAAACTCAATTTCATTGAGGGCCGCATCAGCATTGCAGTTGCCCTTGGGGGGCTGGGTGGGTGTGGCCTAATGGGTGGGCGTGGATGGAGTGGGTGTGGCCTACTGGGTGGGCATGGCCAGTTCTACATCGTTCGTGTCAAGGGTGCCTGTGGGTGCCTGGGCAGGAGTGGGACAGATCTGAGGGTCTCTGGCAGAAGGGGGTGGGACCGGGGCAAGCACCAAGGCATGATCCATTTCTTCATTCCTCACAAAGGGTGACACCTCTCCAGCATGCACCCAGGGGGTGGGGCCAACACAGCAGGGGCTGGTTCCTCGTTGTTTCTGGACGGCCTTGTGGAGCTAAGACTGAATGCNTAATATTTAACTACAATAAGCAAAACAAGATATAAAAAGGATCACAGATTACATGCTCAATGGCAAGTGCTTTTCTCAGTAAATTACAGTAATTTACAAAATCTTTATGTCTAGACATTATCCTTCAGAACAAAGGCTGATGTATCAATCTGCTTAAAGAGAAAGAAAAGCCAGATCTTAACTGCTCTTTTGAAATATGAGAAGGAAGAAACAGATCAGATCTGTGTAGCAATATAAACAATTAATTTTCTAGTCAAATAGCATTCTCAACAGCCAAGCTCTAGAGGGATTGGCTCAATCTGATTAGGTGGTTAGGTGAATTAAAAACAACAACAATGATAACTACATATGGAGCCATGTAGAGGCTTAAGTGTGATAACCGGCACCTTGATTTATTTATACCAAGAAGCCAATTGGCAGCAAATGCAGTTCCCAAAGCACTAGGGTTACCTAAGCATAGTGGGAAATACATGTCACTGCTCTGTTGATCCACTGTCCACCAGCAGTAGTTTCAAACACTTTTCAAGAGCAACCTCATGTAGAGTGTATTACAGTACAATAATCCAAAAGGGAAGTGACTAGGACATGAGTGATTCTGAGTAGGACTCTCCAGTCCAGGAATAGCTGCAATTGACACACAAGATAAAACTGTACTGAAGCCCTCCTGGCCATCTGCCACTGATTCTTTGAGCAAAAGCTATGAGCTAGGTGAACCCCAAGTTCCAGACTACCTTTGGATGGGGGGAGTACAAGTCTGTTCAGAGCCAAGTTGGTGCAATTATGGGACTGCTTGCCCACAGAGCCTAAACCACTCAATTTTGGAGGGATTCAGTCTGTTCCTCCTCTTCCAGACACTGATGGCCTCCTGGCACCGGATCAGCACTTTTTCTAGTTGGCTGGGACAATACAATCTTTCACTTACCTACTAACAGAAAGCCTGCTTTCCAGCCCTCCTCCCTGCAGTTCATATAAGAAAAACAGGTTTCCTGTCTTGATCCTAAGATTGCACTTTAGATAAAAGCATATCTATCTTCATATATCCAACTTATATACCAAACTCTCTCCTGGGATTATTAGGTTTTCAGCAAAAGTTAGGTAAAATTATATCCTGATTCCTACAAAATCTTAAACTAAGTTTAAAGAGAGAAAAAAAAGATTAGATTTCCACAATATTTGATCTGGGTGAAAAACACACACATTTTCCCCATAAACAATAGAGCACTTAGACATTTTGAGCCAAAGTGACCATCACAAGAAAAGCATGTCAACATCTTAACAGAAACTTATCTAATGAGTTCAAAATGAATCACTGATAGACCTCTCACTACTCATGAAAGTGATGAATAAAAGGATGGAAAATTAGTTTGGAACCTCTAAGAAAAAGTTTAGTTTTGCTTATTCTAACAGCCTTGTGTAGACCCACAAGAAACACCTGGTACTCTCAGAGACAACTTCTTTCTGCACCAGTGAAGAAAAATCTGTTCATATCAAGTTGTATCTATGAATTGTGCTTGGTCACCTGCCTGCTAATATGGGTGTTTACTGCTTTTGGGGAAGCAAAATTTCAAGTGCTGCTCCTGTTTAAGTTCCAGGCACAGAGGTGAAGCCACCCGGACCTGGATACACAACAGCTCCTAGCTCAGAAGGTCCAGCCACATTGGAAGAGGTCATAATTCTTGGATGCTTATTTTGACCTGCGTCTAGAACCAAGATTTCCTGAGCCAAACAGGAACAATCATTCTATCACTTGCACCTATCATTCTTACTTTGCATGTCCCCTTTGATAAAATTGAGGCAGGTGAGAATGCATGTAATAAGCACCAAAGACAAGGAGACATCAAAGCTTTGGTCCCTTCCACTCTGACATTGTGAAAATTAGAGAAAACCATGGGTCACGTTAATGTTTGTTTGTTTTTTGCTGCAGAAACCAACCAAAGAGACTCTCCACTAATCCATGATAGTCTAAAATATTTCTGGGTACAATGTCTGCTCTACTTGTGCCAGGGATTTTATATAGTCCATCTGCAGACACATTCAACATCCACTTTATTATATACTTTCCACTGAAAGGAAGACGTGATACTGTATCTTTCTGCCCATGGTGAGAAACCTCCATCTTCAGCCTGCTCCTCCTCCTTGATCATTTGGGTATGTTTTTCTGTAGAAATTGTCCATCCAAATTAACATACGGTTCCTTTCTCTCAGTCTTCTAATGCCAGCCACCTTGCCTCAACTTGTTGGGAAGGCATGACTCTTCCCTGAATCAGGCTGAGATGAATGACTGAGCCCCCGAGTCCAACAGGCTGGAACTCATGATGATTTGGTCCTTCTAGGGCAGTGGTTCTCAACCTTTTTAATGCCGCGACCCCAACCGGTCGTAAGTCGAGGACTAAACCGGTCGTAAGTCGAGGACTAAACCGGTCATAAGTCGAGGACTACCCAACCGGTCGTAAGTCGAGGACTTTCCCTGCCCGGGAGCGCCGCGCATGCGTGGTTCCGCCCCCTGCGCCGGCCGAGGCGTAGCTGGCAAGCGGCAGAGACGGAGCAGGCCGACCACCAGCTGG